AAAAAAAAAAAAAGAAAGAAAGAAAGAAGAGAGATAAGAAAAAAAGAAAACCACAAGAAATTCACATACACAAATCCACAAAAACACAAAACTGGAAACCATCATATACACACAAAAGACCAATAAGACAAAAAAAAAAGCCCAAACAAAGCAAAATGAGACAAAAAGTCTACAAAAATACCACTGAGGTTTGTTGTTGTTGTTGTTGTTGTTGTTGCTTGTGTGCTATCTGTGAGGCCTGCCCTTTAGTGCGGTTAATATGCCCAGGGAGACTCCACTGGAGAAAACTGATTTTTCCTTTGCAAGCAGGTATCGAGTGCAATAGCTTCCGGGTTAGGGGTGAGAGCCTGCGTCTGCTTCCCTGTCAGCACTGGTGCCCAGCTGGCTTGTACTCCGCAGACGCCGTGCATGCTGCCAGTCTCTGAGCTCCTGTGTATCAGTCCTCTTGTGCCTACACTGTTTCTGTAGCCATCATCCCCTCTGGCTCTTCCGAGCTTTCTGCCTCCTCTTCTGTATATCTCCCTGAGCCCTATGGGGGGAGGGGTTGATGAAGACATCCTATTTAAGACCAAATGTTCTAAAGTCTCTCACTCTGCACGTTGTCCATTGTGGGTCTCTGATTTCTCTCTTCTACTGCAGGAGGAAGCTTCTCTGATGGCTGAATGAGGCACTGAGGAGTTATTGCTAAGTTCCTTTAGCAAAATAATAGTATTTGGTTTTCCTTTAGGCCCATGTCCTATCCAGCCTTAGGTTCTCGGCCACCCAAGCAGTGTCAGACATGGGCTCCACTTGTGGAGTGGGCCTTAACTGGGAGACTTTTTTTTTTTTTTAAATCAAATTTGGGGCTAAAGAGATGGCTCAGTGGTTAAGGGTGATAGGGTGCTGCTATTTCAGATGACCCAAGTTCTGTTCTTAGGACCTACTTTAGGCTACTTACAACCACCTGTAAATAACAGCTTCAGGATATCCAACACCCTTCCTGTTCTCCAAGGGCACCTGTATTCACATGCACGGTCTCCTAGACAGACACATATGTTTATACATAGTTAAAACATAAAGATAAAGCTCTTAAAGATGTATTTATTTTATTTTATGAATGTTTGCCTACATGTATGTCTGTACACCATGTGTGTGCAATACCTGAAGAGGCCAGAAGAATGCATCAGATCCCCTAGAACTAGAATTAATAACAGTTGTTAGCCACATGTGGGTGCTGGGTACTGAACCCAGGTCCTCTGTTAAGAGCTTTTAACTGCTGAACTATCACTCCAGCTGTCTAAAACATAAACCTTTTTTCTTCTTGGGTTTGAGAGGCTGGCAATGGAGCTCAGTAGACTGCTTGCCTACCACACACAAAGCCTTGGATTCAACCCCCAGCACCACATAACCTGAGTCTGGTTGTTCATGCCTATTATCTGAGCACTTAGGAGGTGGAGGTAGGGATCAAAGTAGTTCATGTTCATCCTCAGCTCTAAAGCCTGTTCAAGGAGACTCTGTCTAAAAAGAAAAAAACAAAACAAAAACAAGTCAGGCTCCTGGCACTCGGGAGGCAGAGGCAGGTGGATCTCTGTAAGTTCGAGGCCAGCCTGGTCTATATAGCAAGTTCCAGGACAGCCAGACCTACATAGAAAGACACTCTTTCAAAGAAA